TAACCCCAAATGCTTTTGTTTTGCTTGTAACCTTTAAGTTGGGCCCAAAGAGGGTTATTCTTGATGCTTAATTCTTGTAAGTGGGTTTTTTAAATCTAGAAATAGCCTGAGTTTTCAAATGTATTTTCTTTCTTTTTGTTTTTAATAAAATTTACCTTTTTTAAGAACAGGATTGGATTTTGTGTCCTAAGAGGTTTCTGCACACGTTGTTTAATTAGCTGGCGGCACAGCTGATTTCCTTTGTTTTCTTTCTCAGCTCTTCCCCCAGGGGTGCAGGGTGAAAGGGCTTGAGGGTACCCCACAGGAAGGAATTCCCAAGTGCGCCTTCCTGGGTTCTTAAAGGGGTTTTTGCACTTGGGTGGTGGCAGCATCTACCCATCCAAGGTTAGAGAAAACCTGTAACCTGGGGAGTTTAACACAAGCCTGGAGTGGCCAGTATTAATTTTTAGAATCCTTGCGGGCCCACACTTTCTGCACTCAAAGTACCGGAGTGGGAAATCAGCACTCATTGTCTTAAAAGGCACTGAGGGGTGGATAGCAGGAAGAGTCCTTTCACATGCCCCAAAAGCTGGCCAGCTGCATAAGGGGAGCAGGCTGCCCCATCTGGTTCCATAGCAAGGAATTCAGGAGGGGGTTGTACATCCTGGGCAGGACTCGGCAAGAATTTTTTGACAAAATAGTTTTTCATTGAAAAAAGCCAATTTGCCAAAAACCAAAATTTTAGCAACAATGTATCAGTTTTGCTGAAACTATTTTCGGGAAGGTTTCTCAGCTCCAGGATGGAATTTCTGATGTGCATGAAGGAGAGGGTAACCAATTCCTCCTCCTCACCAAAAAACAGCCCATAGCCTAATGATTAGCAGGGACTTGAACATGTGTTCTCTCTCACTCTTGAAATCTCAAAGCAGTATCATGTACAAGGAGTATATGACATGGTATCAGCAGTAGCATGGAGAAAAAGGATGGGGAATTTCAGCTGTCATAAAAAAAAGAATATGTGATTGACAGTGGAAACTTTAACAGAAACAGCTGACACCTTCAGTTCGTTCTGCAGAAAGAAACATCAACAGAGCAAACTTTACAGATGGCAGATGCAGAACAAGAAGAAAAAGATTCAAAGATTCCAAACTGACCAAAGACAGTCTTTGCAAATAATGGACAGCCAGATGACCAAGTTGTTATGCATTTGGGTCATGGAATTAGAAAACCAGTATGATTCAAAGACACTTAACAGACTGATGAAAATGTAAATTTTATACTGGGATCTCCTTTCAAGAGTCCAATATCACCACTGAGTTCTTCCACCTTTCTCTCTGGACCTATCATGGTTGCCATGCTGTGGCTGAGTATGTTGTTGGTCTTCGAACCTTTGATCGCATGCACTCTGAATGCAAAGATTTTGCTGATGTAAGTTGTTTCTGTGGTGAACTGGCCCATGCAGTTCAGAATACCTCTTGGGCTAGTCATGGCTGTGTCAGCCAATTTCAGCTCTGGAAGGGGTTGAAGGTGATTATAAGTCCCTTCTGATATGACAGTTATGTCTGTTCCAGAGTCAATCTTAAAGTCAGTAGTCTTTCCCTCAATATTCACTTTCACTCTCCAAGCATGTGCTAGATTCCAGAAACAGCTCTACACTGTCTATAAGTCAGTTCCTAACTGCCTTAGTGTGGCAAACAGCTGCAAAATGTCCATATTTTGTGCATATATTACATCTTACACCTTTGGCTGGACACATATCTCTTGGGCTATGAATTTTTCCACATCTTGTGCATTTAGTATGAAAGGTTTTGTAGTTAGCCTTCAGTGCCTCGGAGGTTTTGTGATAATTACTTGTAGCATTCATGATGTGTCTCTTTACAGCTTCTAAGCTAGTTTTGGGTTTGTCAGGTCTGACAAGTTGCTCCTGTATTTTGTTTTCCTGTGTCACTAGTTCATTCTGTTTTTCTATCTAAAGAGCTGTGTATAGACTTAAATCTGTGTTTAACTGTACTTGTTGTGAGAGACTTTTGTCTGCAAGCCCAATAACCAATCCATCTCTAATATTTTCATGTTTTATAGTCCCAAAATAACAGTTTTCTGCCAAGGCATGCAAAGCTTTTATAAAAGATTCTGTAGATTCCTCTGATTCTTGAATTCTCTGGTGAAACCACACCCTTTCATAAACCACATTTCTCTGAGGTACAAAGTATGCATCAGATGTAGCCAGAACCCTTTCATAGTCATCTTTATGACTATTGTCAGCAAAGGAACAGGATTTAAAGATATGCTCTGCCTGTATCCGCACAGCGTAAATTAAAGACGATAGATGAATGTCTCCAGTTTCTTTGTGGAGTTTAGTAGCAATGTGAAATCTTTCAGAATGCTGCTTTCAGTCTGTCCATTCTGAAGGTCTGTCAAAGCCTAAGTTCTCTGGGGCATTGAAAAATGGCATGCTGTTGACATCCTGCAAACTTTGTTGTTTTTTTCCCCTTCTGTTCGCAAACTTTGTTCTGTTTTCCTTCTGTTTCTGTTCTCCTCTGGCAGCAGTTATTTCTGACACCATGTCATGTACTCTTTGTACATGGTACTGCTACTAGCAGGTCAGGCTACTATACCAGATTTGGACTGGCTCCAGAGCTTCATCACAGAGAGAGAGACAAGAGGTGTGATCTCTATGAGATACTTTAAGGCAATGCTGGCTATTGCTATTACCAGCTCAGGTAAGGTATGATACACATGGCACCACCTAGTGGCTGTCCATTTGTTTTAGCATTCCATCAGAGATGGGAAAGCCATTTCCCACCCCGCTCTAGTCCTGAAATACAACCCTTCTATAAGGCTCTACACATCTAGCTGCTCAGGGAGGTGCCTAAATGGCACAGTCTACCCCTAAGATATTAAACTTCTAGGGGGCAGGACCTTTTCTTCCTATGCATCCCATGCCCAGCCCTGTTGCATTCTCTCATTCTGGGGATAATTCTGTTCAAACATTTCTGTGTTAGAACAACTGCATAAAAGCAGGATTTTTGTATGTGGAGTGTATCCACTCACCTGAAGTCCTAATTGCCTGTAAGTCTCCTTCTAATTGATTGCTGTGGAATAGCAATTATGAAGACACATACAGAGGATTATGACTTCAGACAGGAAATAAGCAGGAAATCTGATGAATAAAGATGCTGTATTCAGGCAAATCATCTTCCTAATCAGGGGAGACGTGTCATTTAAGGACAGGCTTGACAAGACGGTGAGGGTGCAGTCGCCTCTGCCCACATCACACAATCCCATAAACTCGCTGGCAGGTGCTGGGGACACTGCAGAATGCACCATGGACATTTGGTTCCTTATGAAATCAGCTCTGCAGCTTTCCCTCTTTCCCTCTTCACTCCTTTGGGGTAATTTTGCATGCCCAGGCATGCAGGGTCCCTGTGCTCCTTCAAGCACACAGGCTGTGATTATCCCTGGCTCATATATGGGATGCACAAAGGGGAAAAGTTCTCTGCAAGGCTGGGATGATCTAGGTCAGGAGAACTGTTTCAAAGTAGGGAGGTTTGCACAGCAGGCAGCAAAGGATAAATACTCTATCCTCTACTTGACACACTTTGTAAAAGATTTGTCGTGAATATATAACAGTCGTAGCAACAATGATCTACATGGTCATATTTTAATCATACAATGTCACACCCTGTTCAATTTCCCCCCTGAGGCAGAGGGGAGACCGGATTTGAAGGGGGGGTCTTTCACCTCTCAGGAAGGGGCTATTCTGATGTGGGGCTCCCTCAATCTCATACCTGTTGAGCCTGTGACAAAGACTCATTGGCCCAGAGAGCATGAATGAGAATGACTCTGTAGCTTGGTGGTTAGTGTACCTAGCTATGAGGTGGGAGACCCAGCATCCAGTCCATTTGTCTTTCATTATTTATACACAGTGGAACAGCTTCAGCATCCCAGGAGAGTGCTCTGACCACTAGGATAAAAGTTATAAGGTCACCGCCACCACCTCCTCTTACCCTGGCCAGCATTTGAATACGACCTGGTCTTGTAGGTGGCCAGTGATCAGGCCCCATGGGTGAGTCAGGCAAAGGAGTGCCTATCTTCCCCCAGTTTGTGGCTAGGTATGGGGCTCAGCCAGCAGATGGGTGCCTGGATGCCCAGAGTGAGACAGCTGTACGCATGCCCAGAGGCAGAAATGTAGGCACCTAGGGGACTTTTACAGCAAAAATTTAGGTGCCACGCAGGGCTGTACAAAGGTTTTTAGGGGCCTGCGGCAAAATCTGAAACTCTCCCCCTTCAAAAATACCAAGGATGCAAAAACATGGAGGGGAGGCCCCAGGGGTGGGGTATTGGGGGACTGGAGACTCCCCTCACAGTAGTGACTCCTGTCCCACGGGGCTGGGCTCAGCCCCTGCCCCTGCCCCTGCCCCAGCTGCTGTGACTTTGTGCACAGGGTTGTAGCACCACGCAGTTTTGGCCCCTCTGTGGCTAGACCAAACCCGAGTGGTACTGTGACCCTGCACACTACCTCACAACACCAGTCAGTCTGGGGGCTCTCTCAAAGAGGCGGGACAGGGTAAAGTGCCTCTTTTGTTCCCCCCGGGCAGCCCTGCCACCAAATCAGTTTAGATACCTGCCGGGTTAGGTAGCACCTGGTTTTGTGGAGCACAGCAGTGCCTAAAAATGGAACTTAGATGCCTAAGTCTGGGGTTTAGGTGCCAAAGTATCTTTGTGGATCTGGGCCCAAGGGTCTAAATTCTGTGTTTTAACTATGGCAAAGGAAGAGAAGATCAGCAGAAAAGGGCAAAGCTCTCAGTGAAATGCAAATATATTTGATAATTCGTTAACCCCCTCCCCCGCAACAACACAGAACACTTTTTTAAAAATGTGAATAAGTAACTGGATTTTCATTTACATTAGAGGCAGCAAAGTTCAGATCCAGATCCTGACTGAACTTCTTCAAAGAGCCAGGATATTCCAATCAGAGGTTTTAATTCATGCCTTTTTTATTTTTATGGCAGGAGATCAAATGAACACAGTGTGAGACCTTCACCTGGCAGAAATCAACGCAGGTCCATTGAAATCAGTAGAGTTACTCAAATTAAAACCAGCTGAAGAGCTGGCCTGTCAAATCCCTGAAAGCTCTTGTTAGGGCAGCTACCAAAATCACCTTGGAATTTGAGTGGGAGAAAATGCAAGAAGGTAAGTGAATGATACAATTTAAATGTTCAGTTATTGAACAACCTGACTGGACTGGAAACTGCAAAAGTGGAAAAGTAATAGCTGTAAATACTGCATGAGCAGACAAACCCTCATTCTCCATTGTCTTGTAGTCTCCTGTGAAAACCCAGTATAATCTGAGAAAAATCCATTACTGAGGTGAGTGGCGAATTCTGATATGTTAACATTTTACACCTACCTACGATGCTTTGCACAAAGGTAAGTGACTAGACAAGATGCGGCTGTCCCTTTCACAAAACATTAAAATGAGGGTGGGGGGGGGGATTAGCCACTCAACCATTCTATGGTACAAAGCAATCTGAGCTGAAGAATTTTAGAAAATTAATAATATTTTTGATTCTCACAAATGAGCTGCTGATCCATAGCTCTCTTACTGAGACCCCTTCATACAGGTTTTCTACTATATCTTGTCTCTAGTCAGATGATTCTGTGTAATACTATCCCATAATGTTGCCTAGTGGCTAGACATTGCACAGGGAATCAGGAGTTCTGGGTTCCACTCATGGCTCTGCCATTGGCCTGCTGGGTGACCCTGGGTAAGTCACTTCCCTTTTCTGTGCCTCAGTTTCCCATCTGTAAAATAAGGATAATACTACTTCCTTCCTTGGTCGACATTTTGAGATCTACAATGGAAAAGTGCTATATAAGCGCTAGAAATTATTATTGCTCCAACCTCAAAAATTTTAGCTAGCAACTCTTAACGAGGAGTCAGATGCCAAGGTATATTTCTGTATCTAGCAAATAGAGGCAGTCATTTCAGTGTCTCGTACTCACAGAACCAGATCTTTCTCTCAGTAACACCAAGACAAATCTGGAGTGATTCCACCTACCTCAGTGGAGATGCTCTGGATTTGCACTGGGTGAACTGAGACCAGAATCTGGTCCAAAACATTTTGAGCAGACTTTCGGTCTGCAGTTAACTCTGGAGTTCTCTGCAACAGATGGTGATGTGGACTACAGGCCCTTTACATTGTCAAATATAAATGAAGCCCCTTTACACCTATGCACGCTACATGGACATTGAGTTTGAGAATGCAGGAGCAAGTGAGCATTATGCACCTGCTGCTCTCCAGCCAGAACAGGTGGGCAGGGTGTGGGCAGAACATTGCCACTGTCCTTCAAATAGGCCAAACATCTGAGATTAATTTTCAAACAAGCATCTTTGTCCATTCTCCCACACTGCCCCACCCACATGGGAATAGCTTCCTGGGAACATCTACAAACCCACATCCTGGTCCTCCTTCAGATCCCTTCTTCAAACTCTCCTTTATTGTGATGCATACCCCAAACTTGCTAATGGTGGGCCCATCATGCTGACTAGTACTGTTTTCTTGTACTCCCCCTTCTCTCTTTGTCTATATCCATTGTTGTCTCCTGTCTTACACTTAAATTGTCAGCTCTTTAGCACAGGGACCATCTTTTTGTTCTGTTTATACAGTGCCTCACACAGGGAACACCTGGTTCATGGGGCTCCTAGGAGTTGCAGCAATACAGAACTAATAGCGGAGCTGGCCCCAGGGGTTCTGTAATTTACTGTTGGCATAGGCCTGTAGCAAATCACTACTTCCCCCTTCCCCAGAAGAAAGGGAGAAGCAGGAAGGGAGCTGTGCCTTGGAGAGGAACAATGCCTCTTAGGTCTATTCCTGCGGTAACACTGCTTGATGAGGCTTGGGCCGAAAAGGCCACAGTCTAACTCTCAGTGCAGGCAGCTTTTATGAAATCAGTACAAAATGCAATCCATAAAGTACTTTTCTGTCTCCTTTTGAAACATTGATCTTATTTATTTACACTTACATTTAGGGCTTTATTATTAGGAATCAGGAAATGTTTTAGTTCTTAATTCAGAAATGGCTTCTCTAGAGGTTTCTGGGCCCCCGCTTTCCAATCTGTTTTTGTTCTGGTTGCCTCCTAGCTGCATGAGTTCCCGGTACATATCTGAGACTGTACAGCAACAAGAAAAAAAAAACAACAACAACAGAATAACCAAATGTACAGATGGCTATAAGTAGATATGAGGGAGAGTAAAAATAACCCAGCCCCGCGACAAGAGTGAGCCACATTCTGGCCAGCATGGGGAAGGTGATTTAACCATGCCCCTCCCCACAAAAGGGGGGTTTTAACCATGCTCCTCTCCACTCTGCAAAAGCAATCTAAATGTCTGGCTTTATTCTGGCTTGAAAATGTAGCCAATGCAATGATGCCTTCTAGGGTCTGCAGACAGGATCCAGAGAGAGAGGAACAGTTGCCGATAGAGCTAGGGAGTCCTTAAAGCCTGATCACTATCCATCACAAAAGGAGATGGGGGAGGGGGGTTCCAGACTATTTTGGAGGAGGGGGCTGGATGCCCCATTGGGCTCTGTGAGATAGGCTCTGCCTTGGACTCAGGGGCTGCACTCTTCCTTGCTGCTTTTTTACTCCAGAAGTGACATCAGGGAGGGAAGGGGGCATTCTCCCAAGCACCATTCATTCATGACACCAAAAATGAGTCACTCACTGTTGATTGTACAAACAATGGTAATGTGAGTGTTCTGATCAGCAGTGAAATAATTCACAATGTTGACATTCCTATTAGCATCACTGAGTTAGGGACTGGGGCAGATCACACTTCCCAGAGCTATTGTTACAGGGTGTCTGTAAAAATGAAAGCTGAGATTCTGGGGGAAAAGATGGCATCATCAAAAACGTACAGGATTGCCCATCGGGTACAATCTGATCCAATTATAGTTCTGATACAAATAGAATTCAAAATAGGAAAGGTGTGTTATAAAACCACAAAAAAACCCTCTGGAACTCAGGACCAAGTGCAGTATCTGAAACTACCATTTAGTCATTTGTGTTTGATTGACTGCCTTTTCAGTTGATAGAGTCCCTTTAAACCATTTGCCCAAACTGCACCTACTCTTCCTGCCGACGCTACTGCACATGCCATTTGTTCAGCAAGAATTTAATGAAACGACAAGAACAAAATTGCCAATCAATATATCGTAATAAACTGCTTGTCACTGTAGCATTGTCTTGTGGCTGTAGACCGAGATTGGCGTAACTAGAACACTGGGCAATGGCAGAGCCTTGGGAAGACAAAACTATCCAGTGAGAGAACTTTTTGAAGTTTGACATCTGATGTCTCGTGACCTCTTGGACCCATACCAGAGGCACTAAATCCAAGAGCTTCTAGACAGCCCCGCCGCCGCCTGCACCCAAACTGTGGGGATGTTTTTTAATCAAACGCTCTAGGGCAGAAAATGCAGCATAGTAAATTTTATGCTTTTTGTCATTGTGTTTCTGTGAGTCAATGATTTAACTGGGACATGGAGAAACTATGGCCAATGGCAATCGGGAACCTGGTCGGATGAGGTTGTCGCAGCCAGATCAATGAGATTTGAGGTTTGTTTGTTTTTCCCAGTTGACTCTTCAGTTTCCGTTGCAGGAAAGGAAATGTAGCTAGGAAAACAATTACCACTGCAGGCTAGAAAATACTCATGTATTTCTGCAGGTACTTCTGCTTTGGTACCTCTGCTTTAAGGTATATTCTGGGTTTTTTTTAAGTATTTATTGTCTGATTGCTACAGGTCACACCCTTTTTTTGAAAATAAAATCAGGAGGAATAAAAGAAATAAGGACGGTGAGCCCAAGTCCTCCACAGGTATAAAATCAGCATAGCAACTCCATTTAAAGCCATTTGCACCAATTTATGCCACCTGAGGTGATGACCCTGCAAGAATAAATAGAGCTCTCTAGTCCCCAGAACAGCTTTATTTAAACATCTCCTTTAGTATTTCATAACTCTGAAAGCAACCTTGGCTTCAGCGTTTTGCAAACCTCTGGCCCAAATATCACCAAAAACTTCAGCTGGGACCTTACCAAGATCCTGTCTTGCTCTATGTGACGATAAGAGAGACTATGTTGGTGGGGTTTTTTTTGTTTTTTTTTGTAAAATCACGTGTCTGCCTCAAGTCACTGGCCAACGTTTCTTTTCTCCTTGCTGTTGTGCAATGTACTGTTATCCTGGTTATCTGCTTGACTGCTCCCAGCTGCCCCACAAATATTTGAGTTTTGTAGATTTTTAAGGCCAGTAGGCCCAATGTGATGATCTAATCTGAACTCCCGGGTAGCACAGGACGGCCATAGAATTTTACCAAGTGGTTTCTGTATCAACTCCATAACGTTTACTTGCACCACTGAGCTCAAACAGAATTCATTTCTTACTGGTACACTGTACCAGCTAAGGGGGGGGGGGGCACATGACCCCCCCACGTGACTCGTCCCGTGACCCTGCCCTGTCCCTAGCTTGGGGCCCTGCGCTTTCCCCCTCCCCATGATCCATCCCACGTCACCTGTGGTGGGGAGCACTCCCAGTGGGTGGGCACAGCACAGCTGCTGTGTGAGCTGCTAAGAGAAGAGGAGGGTTTGCTTTCTGGAACAATAGCCAGTTCACAGTCACACCTGCTTTAGGAATTGCCAGCAGAAGAGCTTCAAACCAGCTCCCTCTGACAGCTGAGAATATTTTTTTTTCAGAAACACTGGCAACCGAACCCCACGCCGGCAGCTCTTTCAGCGCGGCTGTACCGTCCCCAGCCCCGCCCCCAGCCCTGCCATGCAGCTGCATCTCCTGAGTCCCGTCTGGGGTCTGTACAGCAGCCCCACCAGAGGACAGGGCTGTGGGGACGAAGCTGGGCGTGGTATAGCTGCGCTGAAGAAGCTGCCGGCGTGGGGTTCTGCTTCTTTCACCGCTGCGGTTCCCGGCAGAGCCCTGAGGTTCTGGGATCTGCTGGGAACCGCAGCGGCGAAAGGAACAAAACGTGGGACCGCCAGGTGGCCCCACGCTGGCAGCTCATCCGGCGCAGCTGTACCACTCCCAGCCCTGTCCTGCAGTAGGGCTGCTGTACAAACCCCGGACAGGAGACACAGGCATGCAGCTGCATGGAAGAGCTGGGGGTGCCGCCCAGTGGATCCACATTCTG